TTGAAGATATTCTGCAGTCCAGCTAACTGTGCTTTCCTTTCCATGATTCATGTTCATTAAAGAATTCTGTGAAAAAATGGATCTTCCACTCCAACCTCACCCGTGACCAGTACTGTTGCAGAAATCAAATATGTTTTGGAAATATTAAATAATGAATCGTAAAAAAAAAAAAAGAAGTTGGACAAGCATATTACCAAGATTCCATCAGACTTAAAAAGATTTAGAACGGAATAAAAACTGCCTGACAAAAAGCATGGGATATATATTTGGTCTCAATGTGTGCTTTCATTACACATTCCTGTGATGGTTGCAGGGAGGGGAGATTCCAAAACAAAAGTCCTTTGAAAACTGAAAAAAAAACACATGATTTTAAGTTTTTTGTTTGTCCGTTTTCTGTATGCTGCAAGCTCTTAAAATAATTGGGTTTTGAGTGCAATTCAGTTTTATAAAAGTAACTCTAACTGCCAATTTACTAAAAGCCGCAGTATTCTGAAAATCTCTTGCTCGATGAATTGACAAATACGACATATAACTGCTTCAAGCATTAGGTATGCAGAAGTGACCCCAAAATATATTTATCCTGGCAGAACGATCATCAATAAACAGGATACATTTTCCCTCCAGTCCAACAAAGCATATTATTTTCCTGGGATTTCCCCATAACTCATTGTAACTGCATTTCTGTGATGCACAATGCAGCTGCAGGGATAATTCTCTCCTTAATTACGAAGACGACTTGGATGCATTCAAAATCTGTTTTACAATTATGCACGGTATTATGTGTAGCATAGTAAGACTAAAAGTAAAAAAGTATGTAAAGAAAAAGTATTTATGTTAGCCAGGAGACAACCAGCCTACTAATAATAATCAGCAACAAGGTGGAGAAAGCTGGTAGTCAATTATGAGATATGAGGGAGATTAATATGCATGACATGTTTAATATAAAGACTCAAGCTTAAGAGACACCAGGCTGAGGTTTATTTTGGGGTTGTCATGGTAAACGGGCACTCAAACGCAGTATTAAAGCAGCAGTCTTTGCAATTAACATCATGTGAGAAACTTCAGGGGTTATTCTTAAACAAAACAAAATCTTGAACCTGAAAATCTATTTAAGGCTTACAGGCTATGCAGTAGTTCATTACAAGACCCGACAATAAGTTTAAGATGTGCACCTGAAAACAGTCTCGCTTGGCAATCACATCAAAGATTAGTGTTGCTCCATGGGGGAATATTCTTCTCACGAGAATTATACGGGAACAAAAAAGGAAGGAAAGGGGATAAACACTGTCTGAGACAAAAAGGCCAAGCAGTTAACAAGCACTGTGACATTCTGGATGCAATCCACAAAGTGGCTCATTATATCGATGGATCTCTATTGCATTCCCAAAATGGCTGCCAAATATGTTCAACTGGGGTAGACAAAGTGCCAAGATGGACTCAAGTGCATAATTCTTTCTTTTTTTTAATGTCTTTTGTTGTAACACGGTAAAAAGCCGAGCTTGGAATTATTGTTTACAATGCGAATTTAAATTCATCCGTGAAGGTCCCCCTGGGCTGCAGGCAGGCATTTATACATTATTTATTATTACAATGCCAATATTCTCAAATTTGCAACTGAATTTACACAATCTAAATTTGAGCTTTGGAAATGTAATATTACTGAGCACAGCAGTGATTTGAGGTCGAATTCTGTTCAGGACGAATATGAAATTCTCTCTTTGACGTCCCCCGTCCACCACGGCCCGTTTTCGAGAGAGTTGCATTGAAACAACATAATGAACATCTACCTTTACATGTAATTAAGTCGGTAGCATAATGGTGAAGGAACAACTTCAAACATGGCATTGTGGCGTCAAAGAGAAGTCCCTATCTTGAATATTTGGGAAAACAATGGCTTCGCTGCGCTTGGAAATGATTTGGAATACTGACCCGCCATCTGTGTGCAAGTACAGTACAAGACGATTGTTACGTGTCCCTTCCAAAGAAGCGCTCATTACGTTGGTACAGCATGGTTTCATTTCACATTTTCACTCGAGTAAACCCAAATAATCAGGTGGGAGAAATGTGCGAAAGGGTGACTAAAAAAACATTTCAAAATCGAACGCTGTGGACACATAGTGCGAGTTTGTTGGTCAATAATAAATGGCCGAATGTGTGTAGAGACAGAGAGAGAGAGAGAGAGAGAGAGAGACGGACAGAGCTACGGAACAGAGGACGAGTGAAGGATGGTGAAGCCAAAAAGAAAATTGGGATTGATTTGCCGAGTGTGGATTAACTGACCCACCCCGGCCCCCCTCCTTCGTACGAGGAGGTCTACAGTTTATCTGCTGGGTCTCCTTCATATAATAATGAGTTTCCTTGGTCTGCAGACATGCTCTTAAATATTCATTAGTCATGGGTGGGTTTTTAGCCGTGACACAGAAAGCTGGCAAATGGCAAGGGCTCAAACACTGTGAATATTAATGTACATGTGGAATATATACATATATACACTCATTAGTGACTTAACGGAGATGCAACTGGGCGCCTGATGCTCTGGACTACTGACACCCCCCAACGCACACATCGACTGTGCCTCTCTCAGCAAACTACACACCTCTCTGGGCTGATGGATCCAGAGGGCCCCCCCCCCCCCTCTTTCTTTTTCACATGCAGCCGGGATGAGAGCGCCCAGAAGACAAGTACCCCTCCACGCCGGCAAACAATAAAATGTCCAAAAATACACGTATTAAGTTCGCGTGGAGTTTCTTTTCAGGGCAAGGGTATTTGCACCAGTGTTGCGCTCTGTGACAATATAATTCGTACTCACCCACATGCAGCACGTCAATCAATATGCTCCAATTCATAGGAAGGGTTGAGGTTTGTAAATACGAGCACGGCGGAAAGCTCACACCCAAGTGCAATGCTGTGGTTCTGGCACGCCGATGTATCCATTCAGAAACAAGAGACCCCAGTGCAGCCTTTCATTACATAACCGAGCCTATAGGATTGCAGCACATTTAAGTTGTGGAAAGGGTATCTCAATGAAGACGGAAGGTGGGGGGGCTGGGGGGAGGTGATCACAACAAACGTGAAAAGGTATGAACGCCCACACACACACACACACACACACACACGCACACACAGGCTCAGGTACCACATCCCCGGACCGCAGCTGGAGTCAACCTCCACGACACGACATACATCTCTTTATGCCTGCTGACAACTTCTGGTGCTGCGTGCGCGAGCCTGCACGCGCCCATAAGAGGACACGTCACGCATTGTGGAAATCATCGCTTATAATGGGAACGCGCTGTATTGCTCTCTTGATCGGACAAAGCCGGGCCGCTTTGGGACAACATCTGCTTGCCACACGCACGCACACACACACACACACACACACACACGCAAATGAACGCACGCGAGCACACTCTGTCTCGTTTTGCAGTCTCACACACGCGGATAGACGCGCACGATCGCGCAAGGGGTAGATGGAGCCTAAAAAGAACAAGACATGCACCTCCGGCTTAACTCCCAACGGGCCTTCCTGTGAATTTTGGGCATGTCATCGCTCCATTTTTTTTTTTTTAATGGCGCCAAAGCGGAACGTATAAACGTATTTTAACTTTATTCAAGGGGCGAAGAGTCTCTACGCTGCCCTCTAATAAGCAGGAAGGAATCACGAGTTAGCCCATGAATATTTTGCAACAAAAATGTCTCAAAAAGACACGCAGGAAGCATCTCCTGCAACTTTAATTACGGCAGAGCATGGGCACACACACACACACACACACACACACACACATATCTAGGCCACCCTTTGCCAAAACGCGAACATCGCGAACATCTTCACCAACTGTCCGCGCGGAATGAGAGCGGATTGCGAGCATTAAAGAGATCTTTCATTTGGGGGGAAACATGGCACCAAAAAAAAAAAAAAAAAAATCAGCCCAGACCGGAGTCCAGCTGGATTTTAGTTGTGATTTATCTCAACGGAACCTTCCCGTGCTGGATAACCTTTAATATTAGCTCTGGCATGCCCATATAACGCGGTGTGTTAAAACACCACGCCGTATTTATATTAATTCATTAAAAAAAAATGTAGGCTAGACATCTGTCTGCACGCGCGCCGCGCACGAGCCGCCGCGATGTATAATTTCCTTCTTTTTAATCCGGCAAGTTCTCAACGGAGCCGAGGACGTATTTTAGGGGCAGAATGTGTATCCGCGCAGCGACAGTGTGGCTTGCGATGAAGGGGTGTGTGTGTGTGTGTGTGTGTGTGTTTGGTGGCGGGGGGGGGGGGGGGGGGGGGGTCGGGGAAACGCGTTTCCTTCTCGGTTCAAATAACTGACCTAAAAAAGCCTAAAAAAATGCGCACGTCGGGCCGCCACAGCGGTTCCGGGCTCTCGGAGAGCGAAACGTGAACGAGCACCGCGGGGGCTTCTCGGCTGATTGAGAGAATCGGACCTGTGGACACAGTTCGCCACAGAGTATTGTCCTCAAGTGTGTCCCACCAACACCAACACCAACACCACCACCACCACCACCGACACCCCCTTGCCGCGGGCTAAGTAAAGGGCTAAAGGTAAAGCGGCATGTTGGGAATAATGACAGATGGGGGGGAACTCGCGTCATGCCAGGGCAGCGCGTATTTTTTTTTTTTTTTTGGGGGGGTCGAATATAAATGGACAACAAAACCTCTGGCAGACAAAACTACCCCCCTCCCAACACACACCCCCATTGCATTTAATTTCGGCGTCACAATTATTGAATGTTTGAGATCCTCTTAAAAAAAAGAGAAGAAGGAAGTTTGCGATAACGTACAGCTGGATATTCGCTCGGTAAAGCCGGCCACAACTACATGGAAGTCAGCGGTATTTCATGCACATCAGCCGAAAGTCTACGAGCATGTCCCCCCCCCCCCTTACACGGCAAATTCCTCAAACGTCTCCCCCCCGTTATAATTGCGTTACAGATATTGCAAAGACCCATCCCTTTTCCTACTTTTCTCAGCGTCTTACCTGCACTTCGAAGCTCTTTCAAAAAGTGGCGACAATGTTTCCGCGGCTCCCCCCGTTTTCCCCCCCGACGAAGCGCGGATAGTTCTTTTTTTTTTTTTTTTTTTAATATGTTCCTTTACTTTGTTTCATTTCTCACTTCCATCTTCTTTTCATCTCATCAATAAACACACGCTGCAGCCTACCTTCATAGAACAGCTCGGTTCAAGTGCGCCCTCCCATTTTTTAACTATACATCGAGTACTTTGAGGGGTGGAGGAGGAGGAGGAGGAGGAGGAGGACGAGGAGGCGGAGGACGCGGGTGGGGGGGTGGGGGCAGGCAGGCGGGGGGGCAGGCACGCCTTTTCACTTAAAGCCGCTATTGGAAGGAACGGTGCACTATCTTTGGGGTTGGATCAGAAATCCGTCAACATTATTGTGCCCCAATCGCGAGGAGCGCGGTGGGACGGCGGAAGCGGCTCCACCGAGCCCCCCTGGAGGTGGTGGGAGTTATAGTAATAGTAGTTGTAGTAGTAATGTGCCTCCTACTCGAGGTAGTTTTTTTTTGCTCCTGCCCGAGCGGCGGCGCAGCGAAGGTATAAATGTGCGGCGGTATGGAGCAAGTGGTGCGAACCCGCTCGGAAGTGAGCGCACATTAACCGCAAACACCGAGCCGTTATTAACGCAGCCGGTGTAGTTTGTTCTCCCAACAATGGCTGTCGGAAATATCAGCGTTCACAATTGTGAATGAACTCAAATCTCTTCCCCCAGTCTGGACAAAAAAGGGACGGGGAGGGGGGGGCTTGTCAGTTATGTGTCCGTCATGCGTCTGAACTTCTCATTGGACGCCGGCTCTGCCAGTCCAGCGAGCCAGCTGCACCGCGGCCTCTCATTGGACGGCGGCGCCGTCAATCATTTCCCGCCGCCAACAAGCTAGATTGTCTGCCGTGCCTTCTACTTTCTACGCATTTCTATTTTCTCATTTATTTATTTTTTAACGTCCCGAGCTGACCTCGAGTTTGCGAGCGGGGAGGAAAAAAAAATCGCGTCGGTTCAACCGGCCAATCAGGTTTGATGGAGCGATTGCTTTTTTTATCTCTTGTTGTTGTTGATTTTTTTTTGTCATTATCCAACGCCTTGAGATAAATTCTGGTTGGCATAGAATAAGGCACTAGCCTAATGGGTCATACGGGATCCCCCCCCCCCACACACAAACACACCCCGGCTTAATACCCCCCCCCCCTTGGCTAGACAGGGACAGGGGGGGGCGCACACGCATGTCTGTAGATCAGATCAGAATAACGAACCACGCGCACGGTGAAGTATAATAGATATACTTTCAATATATTATTCATTAGTGTGGCGGGTACAGGGTGTTCAGTGTAAGCAGCTCTGCATCTTAAAAAAACAAGCTCCCGACAAAGAGGTCAAATAAGGTTACCTTTATAAACCCGACGGGACGCCTGAGCGCTTTAAACAAAAACAAAACTGCGTAAACGCTTTTTTATAAATTTATTCATTTATTTATTTATTTATTTCAGAAGGGCCGCGCTCCTAAACTCCCGCGGCTCCCCCCGCCGTGAGGGGGGGTCTGCAGGAGCGAGAGAGAGAGAGAGAGAGAGAGAGAGAGAGAGAGAGGTGTTCGCTTCGGACGGTCGCCGTCGTCTCTCCGGGCTGAAACGGCTCCGGGTCACGTTTGTTTGCGTGAGCACCCGGGGGCGCTCAGTTGAATGTGCGCGCCATCTGCAGGACTGCCATGTGGATGTTAATACCGCGGGTTCAGCGGAGGACACCCCTTCCGTCACTGCTTTGACCTACATTAGGCAGGGACGGCGCAGGGACGCCGATGGAACGCCGCCACCGGCCTCGACGCGCGGCTCTGCCACGTGTCCACCAGGCACGTTTCAAAAATGCTTTTAATCATCATTAAAAAGTCAGAATTCTGTCTTTTTTTTTTTTTTTTCAGGATCATGGACATGAAAATCCGGTATCCGCGTGGTGCACGCCTTCCCGGATTGTGTTTTCGAAATCCCGCTTGATTAACGCGGCTCAACCGGCAACACGTGCAGGGAGGATTCCACGCAGAGAACATTTTGTTTCAGTGGTGGCTCTTAGTGATTTGCACGTCTGACTGGACGTGGTCTTTATTGCACCGTGTCGGGAAAAAAAGGACCTTTGAAATCTAAAATATGCGTAGATTATGTATGTATGTGTTTTTACACAAAGAAACAAAGAGTATTCACCGAATACACTAATGAGTCAGGCATTTTGGAAGCTTGTCCCTGCGTGTTGTTTTTTACTAATGCAGTGCAATAAAAGCAAAATATGTTTGTAAATTATATGTATTAGTAGAATAATACGATGGACTGCAACACAAATATAGGTTTTACAATAAAATATACTATAAGTGATTGATTTCACTTAATTAATGCTTCTCATGTTGTTTCAAAATCTTAGAGTCTGTATACAAGTATGTTTTAAATAAAAAAAAAAATATATATATATAGAGAGAGAGAGAGAAATTGATAATAATTGAGGGGTAAAGTCACTTGGCAAGGCCTTCCCTGAGGATTATACGCATTGTTTAACTGGGACACAATTTCAAATCTTCACAATAATTAAAAACGTAAAATAATAAAAAAGTATATTTTGAGAATATTTTGCCATTAGACATTTGTATGTGTGTGTGCACAATAAACTGGGACATTACAAAATATAGGAAACATGTCTTTGTTAAGTATTAGCAGCACAGTAGTTAAGGAATTACACAAGTGAGAGCATGAATGAGACACCTGAATAGAACTAAAGGAACAACCGATCATCCCTTTAACCGGGACAGCGACCATTCTTTTACAACTAATGTTTCTTTTTGTATAAAAAGTTCCATAAATGTTTTCCCACATCAACAGTTCAGTCGAGGAAACCAAAATACGTGAAGTTTAAAATGTTGATTTTCAAAGCCATTATAAAAAAATCTAAATAATCCAATTGCAGCTTTTGGTTTGTGTCTTATACAACATAATAGCATTTCCAAACTGTCACCAACTGAGGTAAATCCTCACATTGAGCTCCTAGTGGTCTTCGTTCGATACTGACAAAGTCCTCTTTATTTTTTACACTGATATATAGAAAAAAAGTTAAAGTATATTCTCTGAAAAGCTTCATAGTTTAGTGAAAAAAATAACCACTTTTTTCCTTATTTTTTTATTAAACCTCAACCGTACCTTTAGCAGCCCAAAGAAAGACTCTTTTAAACCCGGAAACAACATTCTTGCCACAGCTGAAATGTTCAGTGTGCCAAAACAGGAACCTCACATTGGCAGGTCAAGTCATGTCTCGCTCAGCTTCAGATACAACCAACAGAGGGCAGCAATATGACTCCTCTCTGTAGGCATTTATTTAATTATTTATCCTTTCGTTCATTCATTCTACGTCCATGCTGCCCTCGGCCTTTTCAAATACGCCCTGTGCCTTAGATTTTCCCTCATTCGCAAATGATCTCTGATGGCTCGGAGGTGCCTCTCAGTAATATGTTCTTAGTTGGCGTTAAAATTGGTTTCTTTGCAAAAAAATCTATTAACACATGCACATATTGAAAAAATAGAGGAACATTTTACTCAAATGGAGGTTTTGCAAACTACGGTCGGGAAAACTAGACAATCTATTATCCTCAACTTGGAAATAAATCATTACAGCTTCTGTATGAGTGAAAACATTTATTGTACAAGTCCACTCAGGGGTCCTATCCTTTTATATCGTGTTCTATTTTAATATATTCCACCAAGTGAATGGCCCTCGGCCTAGTCATTAACTGGACTACTCATTACTGGTTGGATAGAAAGCCACAACATGCAAACTGGATTATGGCGGGTGGAATTAGTTTTCATTCAATTTACAGTGCAATTAAAATGTTATTTCCGTCCAAAATTGTAGCTTTCTAAGCGTTCTTTGTTTTAAACCCACCTAGAGAAAAACCTGTTAATGTGCACAAAGGAACAGGGCTTTTCTTGGGATTGCTCTATTTATTCCTCCTCATTGTTTCCTACTTCCATGCACTCCAGGAGACGCTTTGGGTCAAAGTTCAGTTTTCTGTCAGCCATAGATATTAGCAGTCATTTTGTGCCGTGGGATTAAAAGACACCAAATTAAAATGGCAACGAATGCAGTCGACTAGTTCCCGCAAGTGGACTTAGTTACTGTAATCTCAGGCGTGGCGTTGGGGCAAGGCCGCCACCGATCCTCTTCGGTGTCACGCATAGTTGACCTGAACAGACCTGTATGCTCGTTTTAAACCAGTCACCCACGAACACTGCCGCCATCCTCCAGAGAACCTCAAGCTATCGGTGAATTCCAGCGCCGTCCTACGCATGACTCAACCCGAGACACACCTTAATCCCCCGTCCACCGCGTGCCGCTTTATCGGCGGGGACGGCCGATGCAAATGATTTACCAGGGTAAATGTACGCAGCGCGTGCGTGCATCCACGCCACTGCGTTTTTCGTTGCTCCCTGGTTGCTGTGGCTGTCGGGTAAAGGGCGCCGTCGTTCACAAACTGTATGTGAGCAGCGTCTGCCAGCATGCATTGTTTTGCATGCATGCCGAGGTGATCTGGGTGCCAGCCAGCAGCTACAACAATGGCATCTCTCCACTTCCTTGTACTTCACGTTTCACATATTTCCAGTTCTAAAGAAACCACAGGAAACATAACGCCTTCGTTTTGTCCCGTGTCACGTTTTATGTGCGCGAGAGGTAAAATAAATGGCTATTACGTTTAAAAATTGCCAGCATTTTGCAGCATTTAGTAATGCAAAGTTAGTTGGCGCCGCGGAGAGCTTCTCGCCTCACATCTTCAAAACTGGCTGCGGGCAGATAGTTGACAAGTACAGACAGTATCGGTGCTTTATAGCTGTAAGCTATTCGTCTTCGCTTGTTTGTTTTTTTGGTCTTTGGTCCTAATTTGACAATTATTGGGCCTAAAATAACTTTATTTTGTGGACGTGCCGTGTGTCAGTGACAACATTAGTATTACATGTTTCATTGAAACTCACAAGAAATGATCACAGACGAGCCAGACGTGACAGAAAAACAGGCCTCCTCACGCAGTGACAAACGCGTTGTTTTCTTTTCTCTGTTTCTACCAAGGTGTTGCTAGACTCTGCAGAAGCGGTAAAAACTGTACTTATTTTATGCAGGTGGCGTT